AAGGAAAATTAGTTGATCATGATAATGTGAAATAATAAAATCTATATTAATTGATATATGTATAATAATTGGACAGCTAACAATTATTTAAAATTGGCAATAATTTGCGTTAGTACTTATGTAGATTAAAAGAAATCGATCAACTGCAAATGAAGTTGTCTTTCTAAGAGTGAAACAGCTAAATTACTTCGAATTGTAGTGAAAAAAGCGGGAAAAAATGTTTCGCGTTTATAAATATTATTAGCTTTTTGTCAAAATTTTATAATTGTTTAACGTATTTCTTTTATTGCTTTGCTAATAATATCATTATTATAATTAGATGTAGTATTTGTCCCAAATTGGAAATAAATTATCTTATCTATTTATGTTTTATATATGTATATATATATTTTTAACATGTTGTTGATATATGTATGTGTACATTTTCGATAAAAAAATTGTATATTATAATGTTAAATAATAATAAAAATATTTTATTTTTATTAGCTACTTGTAAAATTTAATCAGATTATGAATTTACAAAGTGTCACTTATTATTATTATTATTATTATACATTATAATTATCTTTAAAACAAATCTACTTTACAAAGTTATAACCGAAATAGTAAAACCCCAGTGCTGAAATTCTTAATAACTTTCGTAACAATTGCAAGAAAAAATTGCATAATTTATAAATAATTTTACAATTAGTAATGGAATATAAGCATACACATTATTAAAATCGTATTACTTACGTTCTCTTGCGTTTCAATGTTAAAAGTAAGGTTGGTCAATGTATTGAGAAAAAGTTCGGTTCTGTTGGTTTAATATTAATTAAATTTGATTAAATTTGTTAAATTCATTGAATTTTAATTTTTTTGCAGCTTTTAAAATGGTATTCAAGAAGCAATTTAATTTATTACACTCAACGTGAGAATAACCAAAATATGTATTTAAAGATCTACATATATCGACATATTCTCTTGATGTCATAAAGTTGTAAATAATAGAAAGTCTATTTACAAATATTAGAGAATATGTATATTTTGATAGAAATTCTGTCGGAGATATTATTTAAAGCAATTATTTTTATGATGCCGCTTAAAGTTCAAACAAAAATAATTAAAATTTTGATCGTCTTTATACTAAACTGTCAATGAGATCTAAACTGAGAACTTACTTTGTTGTCAATTGTCTGTGAGATCATAAAGACTTCGACTTTGATACATAGTTTTGAGAAGATATACATTTCTTAATAATTTTTATTAATGTATTATCTGCACTTATGCAGATTAAAGGAGATCTATGAGAAAAAAAAATTCTTTGTAAAATAAACTAACAATATATTTCGAATTACAATGAAGTACTATAAAACTAAAAATTGATAGTACATAAATGATTTGTATTAAAATAAGAAAAATATAGTATCGCATATATATGACATCATTTTACAAGTATTTTTATGGTTTTTTTTTATAAACTTGATACATTTTATAAAATAGCCATTGTTCAATATAAACATTGACTTTAAATCGTGCATTTGAAAGTATCGTTGCAGCATAAATTAAAATATAATTACATATTTGCATTTTCAGATACCATTTCCTCATTTTTAAAATAACGTAATGCTTTTTGATATTTTTTAAATGTTTGTGTTTTGTATAACAATTATTGCGATTGTGGCAATGTTTCCTACAAGCTGAAAGAACGATTAATTTTTATATCAAGTTCTATCTATTTATAAAATTTGATTATTTGACTATTAAAGAAACTTTAATGAAATAATATATATTATTAATATATATATTTCTTATAATAAATATTTTATTTTTGATACTTAAATTATAACTAAAAATGTAGAAGTTTGTTTTTTGGATACTGATAATCATGTTATAATTATCTAAATAACTCCACAGACCTGTATTATGCACTTATAGCCATAAAAATAAAGTCCAAGTCCGGAAATTCTAAGTGGTTTTTGTAATAATTGTAATAGAAACTGCATAATCTATAAATAATTGTATAATTAGAAATGTTAAAAATCTTGTGCAAGCATACTTATAAAACAGAAATTGTCGCTTACATTATTTTGTGTCTCGACATCCATGTTAAGATTTGTTAATTTATTAAGAAACAGCTGGGTTCCGCTTGCCTAATATTAATTAAAATTGACATTCAATTTGATATACTAAATAAGATTAATTATTCTTATAACTTTTGACATGATGCTGAAACGAGAGCTTTGACTGATAATAACTGATCATCAATATAAATAGTTAAAGAATTATTTTCATAAATATATCGATGTTAACATATTTTATTGACGTGTATAAATAACGAAATATAATTATAAATATTATATAATTGTTTATATATATTTTTGTGCAAAAGTCTATATACCTTGGTATAAATTCCTTCGCAGATATAATTAAAAGTAATGATTTTTATGATGTTGATTATAACCCAAGTCATAGTAGTTAAAATATCCATTGCCAATAGATACCTCGAGTATGTGTTTATCACTAAAAATGCTTTATAAAAAACGGTAGCAAACTGTATAGAAGCAATCTGCAAAACGATCGTTTGTATCACCATTTGAAATCCAAATACTGTGTTAATTCACGTGATATCGAGCACAGTTCCAAGTGTACATGCCTATAAAATACATTTGATATACGATATCATTATACGCATATTATATTTAGTAAATTATATATTGTATAAATTTGCATTATTATATGTATTATTATATAATAGATTTTTATTTCATGCATATTCGCGCAACTCTCAAATTTTCTTTAATTACGGAAATGTTCTTACAAAAGACATGCATAACTTTGCAATATACTTACCAGAATATAAATATGCATGTACAACTGTTCTTTTTGTCTGACAAATAACTATATTTTACGGAGTTGTAAAAATATATTTTTCTTTCTCTCGAAACACAATAAAAGCAATAAATGTCATTTTTTTAAATCTTTGTTAGCATGACTTTATTCTATTATTACTGAATGTAGTTTGAATATTGTGTATTATATGTAATATATATTCTTTCTTAATTGAACTTACATTAAAATCCATATGATTTGCTTAAATGTTTCGGTGCCAGACATTTGTCGATGAATAAAAAGTGAACTGGAAGCCGCCGAGGAATGTTTTGCTCGCCGTTTCTTTTTCTCCATAAGTTTTTGAATATGCTGATTTATGTGCTCGAATTGAGATTCGATGTATCTGTATTGAAAGTATGATGTCTTTTAGAATAATTAATTTATATAATATTTAATATAAATAATATGTGTATTTATTTTTGCGAAAACTTCAGTTTTATTATATTGCAATGTTATTAATACATACCTTAGCAGTATCATATATGTCAGATCATAGAGTATGGCTATATGATACATATGATTTAGGATAAACATTTGATATACGGCTATTACAGCGTAATACTTGGGAACATGTCCAACTATACATACACTGTCAAGTATATTTAAGAAGAAAACTAAGACAATCCATCCTATGAGCAGCCATTTAATACGCACGCGTAGTTTTATGTAATTGTTTGGTGTTTCAAGTTTCTCCAAAGTATCAATCACAATATTTAACTTGTTTAAGCAACTTTTAAATTTCTAAAAACATTACGTTATACAGAAAGGGAATACATATTTCAAAAACTGCACATAAAATAAGACATTTACAATATTATTTAATATTTACAATATGTAAATTAATATACAAATTTACTTGTATCAAATAATGAATATTGAAGTATAAAATGTCTCTCTAAAATATTTGTATGTTAAACAGATTTGTACAATATTTAGATATTTACGTTTAAATAGTTTGGATTTATTCTGTATATTATATCATATAGGTATATTTTTGTATTATTTAGATTTTAAATTTATTTATTTATTTTACATTTAAATATGCTTTATATAATTTTAGTATGTGTTATTTTATATATATTATATTAAAAATAATGCAAATCTGTTTTCTCATTAACATATATACGCAATAACGCATTGATTTGTAATTGGCTGCGTTCTTAAATTTACTGAAAATTTATTATATATTACGTACATTAAATAGATATATTATATTGTCGATTTCAGTAGTGACAGTGAATTTTGGAATGCATTTTTTAATTTGATTTATATTATTTTCAATGTGGATGCAAATGCTATGTCATAACTTAATCACGCGATGTTTTGCAATATTTTATTTTGAATATATGTATATATAAGAAGTTTGTAAAAATTTTTACTTGTTTAATAATTGTAAAATTTTAAACTATCGTACCTTATTATACAATAAGTTAAGCAATACATATGCTATTGAACAACTTATGTAAATTATCGTTATTATAGGCATGCCTAATTCAAGTTTTTCATAAAATTTTATCGCTCTAATACTGAAGTATATATATGACAGCCATGATAATAAAATGTAAAGAATGGTAAAACGTAATCTCGGTTGACCCTCAGGATACTCAAATACTCCGAGTCCGCATAAGCACAACACGATCGAAACAGGACGTATAACTGCTTGAATATTTTGCATGGCACTTGTCAAAGTTGACTTGTACACTTACTTTCGTAATGTCCGTTGTAATACTGTAAAATAAAAAATACCTCGACATGGTCAGAAATGAAACATCATGTATAAATTTACCAGCACTTAAGTAAATTAAACAGAATTGATCTTTCATCAAAAGCTAATGTTTTTCGAATTAAATCGTTTTTCGAATAAAATAATTAAAAGACACATAATAAAGCTACAATTCAAATGCGTACAAATATACGTACTTAAGTTTTTATAGGCCATTTTTTATATTTAGAACAATTAAAAATAACAATGAATAAATGGATAGTAAATAAACATTTACATAACATTTTAAATAAAAATTTATTTGAAAGAGTAAGAAACGGACGTATATTGATATTTATATTTTTTATTACATATATAGAATAAAATTTATATATATATATTTTATAATTTATTTTTATGTGTTTGCTTATTTATCTTCGTTAGATGGAATGTCATGATATGGATTCGGAATATGCATCTGTATTATAATCACCAAAACAGTCACAACTGATGCATAGAACTGAAAAATATATTTTATTTTTATCTAAATAAAGGACAACTTCTTAAACTACATAAATTGAAAAAAAAATTCTATAGAAAGATTCGTACTATTTTAAAATGCTTTAAAAATAAGCGCAATACTTTTTGTATTTTAATTTATTCATAATTTTATACACTACAACGTAGATCATACCTTTCGAACGAAGTTATAACCAAAGTTGAAGAATCCCATACCAGAAAATTTTAGCTCTCTTTGTTTTATTTGCAGTATAAATTGTAGAATCTAAATTTAAATGAATGATTTAATAAATATGAGATACAAACATATACATATATGGAATAGTTGAAAGTTGAAATATTACATGAAATTATGCGAGAATAATTTACCTGCTCTCGAAAGCCTTCTTCGGGATTTTTAGAGAATAATTTGTAAAGAATTGCTATGGTCTCGTTTGTCTAAAATTGCATTGATACAAAATGAAAATTTACAATGCCGAAAAATTTACACAAAAAGATTATGATCAAGTAATTTAGATGAAAAATGTTTAACAGCAGCTTTTTATGTTTTATTTTTATTGTAGCAAAATGTATATTATTTAATTTTTATTATTATATTAATTTTTATTATATTAATTTTTATTATTATAACATATATTGTATTGACAATTATTTTATTCTGTTACCTTATTGCAGATAGTTTGACATATCAGATTTAATGCGAGAAATTTCGCGTTATGTACGATTATCCATACACAGGTAAATAAGTTATCAAGAGTTTGTCCAATAGCAATATCTGTATCTATATCAATATATGATCTGTAAATATGACGACACACATCCACGAATAACACAAAGTAACATCCCATTTGAAGCGTCATCGATATGCTGAATATTTTGTTCAGCTCGCGTGATATGAGGCATAGTTGTAGATGGACGTGTCTAAAATTGAATTATAAAAGATCGCTCTAATTAAAATAAGTCATGGGTATGTACACAAATGATTAGAAAAGGATACTTAGTGTATAGAAACATTGATGCAAGATTTAATTAATATTTCATAATATATATAATAATTTTTCTGACAAATTTACCTTAAAATCAATATATACTGCTCATATTCCTTGACTTCTATTCTTTGCTCATTAATTAATTGCAAGGTTAATTTATTTCGCTTTTTGGTACGCTCATTTTCTAACATATCATGAATATGCTCGTTGATTCGTTGAAATCTGGATCCAATGTATCTGAAGTTAATGAAGAACTAAAGCTGGAAAAATTCGATATCTAGCTATGATCTTATTTATTTATTTTTTATTGTATTAATAAAGCGTGTAAATAATATAAATTGTATTAAATTTGACATAAAATTATATTCTTTAGATATAACTTATTTTGCATTCTTTAGTCAGTTTTCGAAGATTATCATTAATTTGATCAAACTTCAATCCTATATATCTATACATATATAATCAAATTTTTTGATTATTTATTCTTATAAATCAAGAATAAATTTAAAATTTAAGAAGCTTCAAGTTTTTATATGTAATTAATTAATATTTCTAATATAAATTTTTTATAAATTATTGCATATGATTTCTTATATATATAGTGTCCCATAATTCGCGAATCACCTTTCATGGGCAGATAGAGCGTGTTAAACCGAATAGAAAAGTCCTGTATCATTTTGCGATATTCGCAATAATTATTGAGTTATTAACTAAAATATCTAAACGAATGAGCGAGTAGAAAACGTAGGCCGGAATCGGTGTGCATGTCGGATGACTTCTTTGTTATATGCCGCTTAGATCAAAAGTATCATATTACTTTTCGGCGCCGCTACATTGGTCGCCGCTCGTTGCATGACGCCGCCTCTCGATCAAATAATGCTTTCTACCTGCTTATTCGTTTAGATATTTTAATTCAATAACTCAATAATTATTGCAAATATTGCAAAATGATACATGAATTTTCTATTCGGTTTAACACGCTCTATCTGCCCATGAAAGGTGATTCGCGAATGTATATATATATATACCTGTATATATATACAATAAAGGAATAACATATATATAATAATATTTTGTGTCCTCAAAATTATTTATACAATCTTTCTTTATTAAATAAAATTAAATTATTAAATGCAATTTAATCACATTAAAAAACACATTAAAATAATTTAAAACATATTTAAAACAATTTAATAATTAAGTCTAATTTTTTTTTAATTCTAGGAATTAATATTTTCAAATATCATTTTTCTAAGAATATAAAACTTTTTTATGTATGAATAAATTTATTTGAATTTATTTCTGTTAAAATTTAACAATTTTGATGACTCCAAATAACTAAAATGAAAGTAACTTTAAATTTGTTAACAACATTTTATGTCATTTGTTTAGTTTAGGTGTCCTATTATTATTTCAATAACACAAATTGTATATAAGAAAAATACATGAATTTTCTATTCTCTGCTCATGAAAGGTGATTCGCGAATTATGGGACACCTATATATATATGTATATATGCAAAATATAATTTTATTGTTCCTTAAGACACATTATACTCTTCAAATAAATATTGTTAATAGACTAAATTTCAACTTAAACGTCTTATGTAGTATTAAAAAATCTTTATTTATATGTATATCAATTTGTCTAAAAAAATCTAGATCTCAATTTTTCATATTGCAGTTATTTTAAAAAATATTTTTGTTATACATTGTAAAATAATTTTGAAACCTGCATATATATACTGACCTTAGGATAGTTATCCACATTAAAATATTGAGAGTATTGACATGAATTAAATGATTTGCTACAAAAGGAACACAGATACGAGCGAGACTAAAATATTCGTAGTTCAACCACAAACTGTCAGACGCATTGTAAGAAAAATCAATGTAATCCATCCAATTATTATTCCAATTACCCAATTGTATAGCTGTCGATATTCTTTCGGCGTTCCGAGCACTTCCAATGTATCATCCATGATGGAAAGTTTATGTAAACATATTTTTAATTCCTTGAAACATAATAAAAAATACATCAATATATAATATAAATATGTAAATATAATATTAATGCACACAACACATAAATAAATATATATTCAATAATATTATATATTCTGTTTGCAACGAATAATGTAATACAAGTATAAAAAAATTCTCAAATATTTCCATTTTTTTTATAATCGTGAAAATTAATTCCTTTAATTAAAATGTATTTAAATAAATAAGATTTAACATTTTTCACGAATATGAAATAATGAATTTTTACCTTAAAATAAAAGAGACTGACAAGCATCGACACAATTGCGGTGATTATTATAATTATATTAAACCAAGATACGAATAGGTACGCAGTGTAACTAGTGGAAACTAGGTAGTAAAAAAGATATGCGTAAAGACTCCACGTGATAAAGAAATATAAATATGTAAAATATGGCCTGGAGAGTCCAAGAGGATTTTCGAAGAAGCCCAAGCCGCAGAATGAGCTGACAATCAATAGTGGTGACAGAGCTGCCTGTATTGTTTTCGTCATAATTTTCGAATCACCTGTCACAAATGAATTATATTTTTCTAAACAAAATATGAATACGTTTTGACAATTTTTACGATAATCCAAAAGATTGCGCTCATTATTCTTACACACTTTTTTGCAGAGTTTCTCCGAAACTTTGTAGCTTTCATACTGCGAGAAAATAAGTGCCATTTAACTAACGAGTATATCGAACGACGTGATAAATAAGTGAACAATCTAGATTAGGTAGCTATTTCCTTCAGGTATTGTTATCTATACACATTTAATTTTATAAAGTAAAATATAAATTCTTATGATATTGCGTCTCTAGCAAATGTAAATTTTAAGTGAATTAAATGAATTTAAGTAAAGTATGAATTATTCTTTTTATGGGGAGAATAAAAAGCAAAAAGAGAGATGTTATCTAATTTTTTAGATAGTTCTTGAGAAATAATAAAGACATATATAATATTATATAAAAATTATTTTTATACATATTATTACTTTAAAATATATTATTTTTAAAGAATTTTATATAATTGTATATAAAATCTTATTTATAGTATAGAATCTTATTTAAAAAATACTCGTTGTTTCAAATTAGTTATATTAATGTTTTTAAAATTTGATTATAGTATATAAAATAACATAGTGATGCTAGGTTTAGAAGATAAGATGCCATTTGAAAACTTCCAATGCAACATAATTCTGAATGAAGATACTTGTCGATGGAGAGATAATATTTCATGTTATTAAAACATATTATAATTTTTCTTACATATTGGAAGAAATGACAAATAATAATTATTAACTTTTTTTTTAGAAATAGAATTTTATTACAAAGTTAGCATTAATGATTTCATCAAACATGTGTATTGATTTATATTGTGATCCATAATGTTGGCTTGTAATTACCAGGGTATAAAGTATATCGATGAACGGTATTAGTATATCGATGAACGGTAATTAGTAATAATTTGATTTCTTCTATGTATACATACGTCAGTTTATATTTATCTAGTACTACAGTAGGCATCGCATATGCTCGTGTGAAATCAATTACTTAAATTTTATTAAATCTTGCATCAATTTACCTACATTATTAAAAATGTCATAAATGTAGAATATGTAGTAAAATCTTTGATTTAAATTTAGAGTTGTTAATAACTATATAATTCCTTCATTTAGAAAGAAATATATTTTAAAATAATAAATATGAAGAAGCTAAAAATCACAATTTTACGAATATATTGTACCATAATTTAGTATACGTAAGATGTTAATTACATTTGTAAGTTTCTTTTATTTTCAACTATAACGTATCATAAACATTTACATTGAGATTGTATGCGATCATACGTTTTGATTATATGTGAATTTTTCGATATATCTTTGGTATATTCATCTTTTTAAAGTATCATCCTGCAAATTTGTATTAAACCACTAATTTGTATTGCATATTTCAAAACTTTAAAACAAAATATTAGGTGTACACACATTCATTTCCGCAATTGTAATAATGATAATAATAATAACATAACAAGAAGAAAATGCAAGATCTGTTAAATGGTCATCATTATTGTTTACTTGAACTACTGACCGTCTGTTCACACTCATTTAATGAATGCGTCGATTTGTAAGAGGATAATAGATTTTTATCATTATAATATATATTTCTCTTACAACATTTACTTATATTAAAATTATTCAATTAAAAACATATCTATAAAGTTTTATTAATTAATAATTATATTATTTAATTATTAAGTTTTTCTATTCAAAAAAATTCTTTTTTAAAAAACAGGTAATTGAAAAATGTATAACTAGTTCATATTTACAATTAATTTTAAGAATTTAGAAGCAAAAAGTAAATATTTTAATTTTTGTTATTCGTGCGCAGAATTAAACATATTCATGTTTTCCTAAAAAATATAGATATGCTAATTCATTCATATTTATTTTTATAATCTGTATTATTTAATTTGTGGAATTGGTAGGTGGAATATAGTGATTCGAATTTGGTAGACTCATCTGTATTATAATCACTAAGACGGTCGCCACGGACATGTAAAACTAAAAAAAATATCCTTTTATATTACATGATAAAGATAATTGTTGAATCAATTAATCGTATAAAATTGGAAAAGAATAAGAAATAAAATGACAATAAGAAACATATATACTAACTAAAGAAATAACAATTAAGTAACAAATCTAAAATACTACGTTCTTAGAACTTATCTTGGAATGTATCAAATATAATATTTTTTGTTTTATTTTATGTTGATTTAGAGTTAGCAAAATATATGACGTACCTTGCGAATTAAATTATAACCAAAGTAGAAAAGTCCCATGCCAGATAATTTTAGCTCCCTTTGTTTTATTTGTAATATAAATTGCAAAATCTGAATTTAAACAAATAATTAAATAAATCTAAAATATATATATGAGAGTTTTTATAATCAGATATTATGTAAAATTCTGTAGTATAATAATTTACCTGCTCGTTTAAATCTTTATCGGAATTATAGTTGGACAATTTATATAGAATTGCTATTGTTTCGTTCGCCTGGAATTATATTGATACAAAATTAAACCTAGCAATTATTATCAAAGGAAATGAGACTCAGTAACCTGGATAAAAACTGTGCAACGCTATTTATTAACGCTTATAAAAATTATCTTTTCTTAATATTTTTCATCATTTGCAACATGTATAATTATATCTGATTATTATATTAATTATAATTAATTGATAATTATTTACTTTTTTATTACCTTATCGCAAAGCGATTGACAGATATAATTCAGTGCGATAAATTTTACGTTATTAATAAAGCCAAAAATAAAAAGGGAAGAATTATCTATAGCTTGTCCAATTTCAGAAGCTATGTTTCCGTCTATATATATCCTATAAATTTGGCGAGACATGTCCACGCAAGTTACAAAATAATACGCCGTTTGTAGAGTCATTTGCACACTAAATACTTTGTTTAATTCACGTGATATGGAACATAGCTGCAGATGAAGGTGCCTATATAATAAAATAATAAAAAATTAGAATAAGTAAAGCAAATTATGATTATATAAAAAAAAGAAATGAACAAGAATACTTTGCTCATAAGGTACAATTGTCTGATTAAAATTTTAATTTAAAGAATCAGGTTTTGAAATTGAATTATTAAAAAAATAAATTTAAAAAGTTTTACATTATAATCCACATATACTGCTTGCATTTCTTGGTTTCTAGTCTTCTCTGATTAACTAGGATTAATTCATTTCTTTTTTTGTCTTGCTCTGTATTTTGCTGACATAGATCTCGAATGTATTCATTAATTCGTTGAAATCTGGAACCTGTGTACCTAAATGTAATGAAAAGCTAGAGCGGGAAGAGAATCCGATGTTTAACTAAAATTCTATATTAAAATCAAGAGATTACAATATATGTCTATTTTGGTTGCAGCATTGAAAATGATCTAAATTAAATTAAATGTAATTATGCTTCTCTTTGCTTCCTCATATGGAGATAGCTTTATTTTTAGATATTATTAGTAGGTACATTTTTCCATTAATTGCATTATTATTATTATATATTATTAATGATAAAATATCTTAAACATACACATCTATAAACAATTTAAAACATTTAAAAGAATCTAAAAAAATTTTTTTAAGTATTCCATGTTATAAACTTTTTTTAAATCATTTTTATTTTAAAATAACTTTACAGTATACGTACCCTACCATAATTCCACAAATCAAGACATTGAAGTTAACAACGTGATCCAAATAATTTCCTATAAATGGTACCAAAATACGAGTGATGCTGAAATATTCATAATTCAACCATACAATATCGGATATATCTACTAAAAGAGCTAGTGAAATCCATCCAGTTATTATTCCAATTAGCCAACTGTATAGCTGTCGATATTTTTTCGGCGTTCCGAGCATTTCCAAAGTATTATCCACGATGGAAAGTTTACGTATACATATTTTTGATTCCTTGGAACATAACATCGCATGATTACGTAATATATCAGAAAGTTATTGATAATGTGTTATAAATATATTTCCCCAAAAGGAATTATTAATATCATCAGTATTTTTAAAATATAAATTTAGCTCACACACACATTTGAAAATATAATAATATATATACAATATAATTTAAAATAATAGAAAATAATAGAGAGAAACTATATGTTAATATATAATATAAATATAATATTAATGCACACAACACGTAAATATATATATTTAATAATATTTTTATATTCAGCTTACAATGAATAATATAATACAAATATAAAAAATTTATTTTTAATTAAAATTTTTTAATTATGAAGGAAAATGAATTCCTTTAATTAAAATATATTTAAATATATAAAATTTAAACATTTTTGATAGATATGAAATAATGAATTTTTACCTTAAAATAAAAGAGACTGACAAGCATCGACACAATTGCGTTGATTATTATAATTATATTCAACCAAGATACGAATATGTACGCAGTGTAACTAGTAGAAACTAGGTAGTAAAAAAGATATGCGTAAAGACTCCACGTGATAAAGAAATATAAATATGTAAAATATGGCCTGGAGAGTCCAAGAGGATTTTCGAAGAAGCTCAAGCAACAGAATGAGCTGACAATCAATAGTGGTGACAGAGCTGCCTGTATTGTTTTCGTCATAATTTTCGAATCACCTCTGTTACAAATTTAAATTACATTTTTCTATACGTAATATAAATACGTTTTGACAATTTTTTTACGACAATCCAAAAGATTACCCTTATTATTTTTACACACTTTTTTTGCAGATCTTCTGCGAAACTTTGTGGCTCTCCTACTGCGAGAAAATAAGTGCCATTTAACTAACGAGTATATCGAACGATGTAATGAATAAGTGAACAATCTAGATTAGGTAGCCATTTCTTTCAAATATTGTTATCTGCACACATCCAATTTTACACAGTATAAATTCTTATGATATTGCGTCTCTAGCAAATGTAAATTTTAAGTGAATTAAATAAATGAGGTAAAGTATGAACTATTCTTTTACGGGGAGAATGAAAAGCAAAAACAGAGATGTTATCTAACTTTTTATATAGTTCTTGAAAAATAATAAAGATACGATATAATATTATTTAAAATTATTTTTATACACATTACTTTTAAATATATTTTTTAAAAATAATTTTATATAATTGAACATACATAGAATCTAATTTAAAAAATATTCGTTGTTTCTAATTAGTCATATTAATATGTTTTTTATTTTATTAGCATTATGTATAAAAATAACATAATGATGCTGGGTATAGAAGATAAAGTGTTATTTGAAAATTTCGAAACAATAGATTTAATTTGCGAGAAATGCAACGTAATTCTAAATGAAGATATTTGTTGATAAGGAAATAATATTTTATGTTATTAAAACATATTATAATTATTCTTACATATTAGAAGAAATAACAAATAATAATTATTATAATTAATTATTTATTTTTTTATAAATACAATTTTATCTATTATATACAAAGTTAGCATTAATGATTTGATGATTTCTTCATACATATGTATTGATTTATATTGTGATCCATATAATGTTGGCTTGTAATTACCAGTACATAAAGTATATAGATGAACGGTAATTAGTGGTAATTAACTTGTGGCATTGATAGACGGAATATAGTCATACGGATTTGGTAGATCCATCTGTATTATAATCACTAAGACGGTCGCTACGGATATGTAAAACTGAAAAATATTTTTTTATTTTACATAATAAAAATAATTGTAGAATCATATAAAATTGGAAAAAGAATTTTGAATAAGAAATAAAATAAGCATACGAACCATATACATATACAAACGAAAGAAATAGCAGTCAAGTAACAAATCTAAAATACTAAGTTCTTATAAACACTTATCTTGTTAGGAAAGTATCGAATATAATACTTTTTGTTTTATTTTATATTAATTTAAAATTTGTAAAATATATGACGTACCTTGCGAATAAAGTCATAACCAAAGTAAAAAAATCCCATGCCAGAAAGTTTTAGCTCCCTTTGTTTTATTTGTAATATAAATTGCAAAATCTGAATTTAAATAAATAATTAAATAAATCTAAAATATATATGTGTGAGAGTTAATATAAACAGATATGTAAAATTCTGTAATATAATAATTTACCTGCTCGTCTAAATCTTTATCCGAATGATCGTTGGACACTTTATACAGAATTGCTATTGTTTCGTTCGCCTGAAATTATATTGATACCAAATTAAAGCTAGCAATTATTATCAAAAAAAATAAGACTAATTAACTTGGATAAAAACTGTGCAACGCTATTTATTAACGCTTACGAAATTTATTTTTTTTAAATGTTATTCATTATTTGCAACATTTATAATTATATCTGATAATTATATTAATTACAATTAATTACAATGAATTGATAATTATTTACTTTTTTATTACCTTATCGCAAAGCGTTTGACAGATATAATTCAGTGCGATAAATTTTATGCTCTGAATAAGGCCAAGAATGAAAATTAAACATGTATCTATAGCTTGTCCAATTTCAATAGCTATGTTTCTGTCTATATATGTTTTATAAATTTCGCGAGATATGTCCACGCAAGTTAAAAAATAACACGCCATTTGTAGAGTCAGTTGCACACTAAATACTTTGTTTAATTCGCGTGATATGAAACATAGCTGCAGATGAAGGTGCCTATATAATCAAATTATAAAAAATTAGAATTAGTAAGAAGCAAATTATAATTATATAAAAACAAGAAATGAGCAAAGAATACTTTGGTCATAAGGTAGAATTGACTAATTAAAGTTTTAATTTAAAGAATCAGATTTTGAAATTGAATTATTAAAAAAATGAATTTAAAAAGTTTTACATTATAATCCACATATATTGCTTGCATTCCTTGGTTTCTGATCTTCTCTGATTAACTAGGATTAATTCATTCCTTTTTTTGTTTTGCTCTGCATCATGTTGAAATAGATCTCGAATGTATTCATTAATTCGCTGAAATCTTGAACCTGTGTATCTAAATGCAATGAAAAGCTAGAGCGGGAAGAGAATCCGATGTTTAACTATAATTCTGTATTAAAATCGAGAGATTACAATATGTCTATTTTGGTTGCAGCATTGAAAATGATCTAAATTAAATTATATAAAATTGTGCTTTTTTTAGGTATTATTAATACACTTCTTTATTATATAATTATATTATTATTATATCTTATTAATGACAAAATCTGTTAAATATACACATATAGTTAAATAATTTAAAATATTTTAAAGAATCTATGAACATTTTTTAAGTATTCCATGTTATAAACATTTTTGAATTTTTTCGAGTTTAAAATAACTTTACAGTATACGTACCCTAACATAATTAGACAAATCAAGACGTTGAACTTAATAACGTGATTTAAATGATTTTCTATAAATGGTACAAAAATACGAATGATACTGAAATATTCGTAATTCAACCATACACTGTCGGATATATCTATGAAAAGAATTAATAAAATCCATCCAGTTATTGTTCCAATTACCCAATTATACAGTCGTCGATATTCTTTTGAGATTCCAAGTATTTCCAATGTATCATCCACAATAGAAAGTTGTCGTATACACATTTTCAATTTCTTAAAAAAATAATATTGACCGATATGGAAATCAATTGTTAATATGTTATTAGAATAGTATTTAGGGAAAAATTATTGATGTAATATTATTATTAATCAATTTTATAAATCTTTTTTTTACCTAACATTAATACTTAATATAAATAAATAATAAATAATACAAGAGAGAATATCGAGAAATTTATTTATTCACAAGTTTCTTGAAAGTAATATTTAATTTATAATCTTAAAAAAATTGAGATTAATTTTTTAAAGCAATATATAATTGTATATTTGTATGTTATAAATTTTGTAATTTATAATATAATTCTAAATTATACATACCTTGGAATGAAACAAGGAGATAAATATCGATACAATTACGATGATACGCAATATTACACCCATCGTATTCACATACATGAATGAAGTATAACTAATATGTATTAGATAATAAGAAAGATATGCATAAAGGCTCCATGCGATCAACAAGAATAGGCAGGATAAGTATGGCCTGGGTCGTTCAAGGGGATATTCGAAGAAGTTCATGCCATAAATCGAAGCAATGATCAATAAAGGTAATAGTGCTATTTGGATCGTCTTCGGCATATTTCTTAAATTATTCACGATAAAAGATTAATTTTGATAACAATAAGTAAAATAAGAACACATTGTAAGTTTTCAATATAACGCACATTTACTTCTTTTATACACTCTTCAGGATTGCAAGAAACGTTAAAAGTTCTATTGGACGAGCCAATATCGAACGACAGAATAAACAGATAATTTAGATTAGATCGCTTTCTCCTTCCGGACTTGTTATCTGTACATATATAATTTTTCAATATAGCAGAAATGGCCAAGCAACTATTCTCGTGACATTATGTTTTTATAATGTACATAAATTCAATATCTCAAGTGAGGTATAAATTATTCTTTTAAATTGAATAGTTGAAGAGTGAAGATGTATATCAAAGCAATTTAATTTGTTTTACAATATTTGAGAGAATAAGTAAAATATATGTATTATGATATATATTCAATAAACATAATTACATTACTGTGTTATATTTATTTTTTGCAAAATATATTATCATACCAAATAAAAAGGTTATCTATATACAAAAAATCTTTATATATTATACAAAGATAAATTGAAATAAAAAAAATTATAATATTTTTGTAATTGTGTAAAAGAAAATTTCGTTTTATGTAATTTATTTGTTATAAAATTACTGTATATGTATATATTTTTCTTTTTATAACTTGAGAAAAATGCTTTCTAAGAAATAGAAAGTAAATTTATTTTCAAAAAATAATACACAAATTATTTTTTCTTATATATAAAATTTATATTTAAAAAAAAAGTGGGCATACGGACACAATGAATGTATGTCAGAAGGTTTTTACTGTTTATTCTTATATATAAGTTTATGCATGACTTTTATATTAATTAATTTTTATTGATTACATAATATCATCATATCAATAATCAGAAGTTATATTCATTTGTATTATAATCACCAATACGGCTGCAACTGCTGTGTAGAACTGAAAAGTATGTTCTTCTTTTACATGACAGAAATAAGTTTTTTTTACCAATCGATAGATACACAAAATTCTTTTATTAAACTTTGTCGTAATAATTTTTATTTTCATAAATATTAAGACATACCTTACGTATGAAATCGTAACCGAAATAGAAAAGTCCCATACCATAAAATTTTACTTCCTTTTGTTTTATTTGTAATATAAATTGTAGAATCTGAATTTTTAGATAAATATATAATTCGATATATTATAAGATATAAACATTATATGTATACTAGATGCTATATTATGGGCGGCCATAATTTACCTGTTCCCGAAAGTCTTTATCCGAATTATCATTGGACAAGTTATAAAGAATCGCTACTGTCTCGTTTGCCTGAAATTATATGCATACAAAATTATAGTTTATAAACTGAAAATTAGAATATGTAAAATAAAATAATTTTATGGAAATTGCTGATGTCAATGTCAATGTTATTAGCTAATGATTTTTATTGTATTTTTTAAATATATTATTGTTATTTCTAATTAAATTTTAATGATTAATAATTACTTTACTCTGTTATACCTTATCGTAAATAATTTGACAGATATGATTCAATGCAAAAACTTTTGCAGTACATACAACGGCCCAGATATAAATAATTATTTTAGAGAAAACATTTTCGAATGTATCCTTATTATTGTCTATATATGTCGCATAAATTCCGCAACACAATTCAACAAAAAGCATAAAATAAGATGTCATTTGCAATGTCATTTGTATACTGAATACTTTGTTTAGCTCGCGTGATATAAAGCATAATTCCAGGTGAATGTGCCTGCAATCAAATAATAATTGTCACAATTAAATTACACTACAGTATGTGTTTAAACTTGGATAAAGATATTTTCAATATAAAAACAATTGATTTTTTAATTACAAGATATCAAATTATAATTAAAATGTTTAATTAAAATATAAAATTATAATGTGTACTTTGCAATTTTTACATTCTTATTACATTATAATCCACATGTATTGTCTACATTTTTTTGGATCTTCTGTATTTTGCGGAATACCTAAAATTAATTTATTTTTCCTTCTAGTACACATTGCATTATCTCTAAACAAATCATGAATGTGTTCGTTGATTTGATGATATCTGGTGCTTATATACCTGAATTTAATGAAAAATTAAAATTAAAGGATTCGTTATTTACAATTTTTTACTAACATCGCTAATCATATACATATATGTATATATATATTCATATATCTTATTTTATATTATGTAAAAGAGAAATCTTAAAGAGTATTAAAATAATGCTAAATGAAATGAGAAGATTGAATAGATTTAAGCTTTCAAAAAATTTTTTAAAATATTTTTGTTATATACACATTATTTATAAAAAAACTTCACAAAGCTGTATATGGTATACCGACCTCAGAATAGCTGCCCAAATTAAACCATTGAGAGTATTTACGTGGAACATATGATTTGCTATAAATGGTATCCAAATATAACTGATGTTAAAATCCTGATAGTTCCATAAAATATCGCACAAATTCATAAAAAGAGTTATCAAAATCCATCCTATTGTCATTTTGATTGTCCATTTATACAGTAGTCTGTATTCCTTTGACGTTCCAAACATTTCCAATGTATCATCCACGACAGAAAGTTTATATAAACACGTTTTTAATTTCTTAAAATATAATTATAATTTAATCATTTTAAAGCGTAAAAATCAATATAAATGCAAAAAATATATAATTATTTTTTCTGAATGTTTTGTCCGTGATGATAATACAATTATTAAAGCGGATCTTCTAAAAACATTATTTAAACATAAACTCGATATTTGTTCTTTTGTTGAAAGATTGAAATTAGTATTGTCAACACCAAGTATTCTAATATGATAAGATTTAAGCGTAATAATTTGGACAATAATTTTTACCTTATAACGAAACAGGCTGATGAACATTGACACAGTCGCACAAAAGATTATTACTATATTACTCCAGGACCTGTATAGGTTATTATTGTAGAGTAAATAATAATAGAGGCACACGTAAAGGCTCCATGAGATTAAAAAATACAGACTAGTGAGGTATAACTTGGGTCGTCCAAGAGGATATTCGAAGAAGCTCAAGCCACAGAATGATCCAACGATCAATAATGGGGACAACGCTGCCTGAATCGTCTCCGTCATGATTTTCGAAAATCATAAATTTAAATTACATTCTATTGTGAGGTACTTTGTGTTGATGTCAGCAAAACTTAAAAATATGTTTTTACTTTTCTTCCGCACATCCTACGGGAGCCTTTACAAGAATTATACTGCAAAAATGTTGAAATTTTTATTCGACCGCTGAATATCGACCGGTAAAATAGACAGATACACAATCTAATAATATGGAAGACCTTTTCCGCGCAAAATTATTATCTACGTACCGTATATAATTTATAAAACGTTATTGGTTATGAATAACAAATTCTTGTAATATTGTGTTACATGAAAATTGTAGGATTCTGTATAACTTATACAAAAAATAATTTTTAAATAAAATGATTTAAATTGTGGGGATTAACAATATATATAATTAAAATTTTATTATTAATACGTTCGTTATTATTAAAGGAAACTGTCAATTATATTTCAAAAATATGAGTTATTTATTCATTTCTTTGCAAACTTATTTGTTAAGATTATAGCAGATTTTATTTATTTGATTATTAAATGAAAAATTAATTTTAGATAATTATTACATATGTATATGTCGCTAATATCGAACATGTTAATATAAATATTAAACATATGTATGTATATAATTTAATGTTTAATGCTCAAATATGTTTCTTTTAAAAAAAATTGATACATAATCGTGTATAAAAATATTTACATGATTAATTTTTCGAGAAAATAAAATGTTTCCATGATAAAATTGTAATCTTACATTACTACGTAATCAATATTTTACAAGCTTTTTTGAGCGACATTTAATTGAAATAATTAAATAAACATTAGATGCATCTTGATTGTTGCATTATTTTATAGTAATTAATGTCAATTTTTGTATATGTTGACATTTTTTCTCGATATTCATATCTTGCGTTAGCATCACAATAATACATAATTAATATACTTGTACTATATATACCAATAATACAGGAGAGATTATCGAGAAGTTCACTTATTCAAAAGTTTTTTAAGAATAATAAAAATGTATAATCATAAAAATTTTATATATTATATAAGGATAAATTCCAATAAAACAATAATAATATATTTGTTCATTGTAATAGTGTAATAGAAAATTTAATCCTATATAAATTCTTTGTCATATATAAAGTTATTATATATTTATATCTTCTTTTATAATTTGAGAAAAGTATTTCTCAAGAAATAAAAAGTAAACTTATTTTCAAAAAATAAATAAATTTTTATTTTTTATATATAAAACGTATATTTTCTAAAAAAAGTGGGCATACGGACACAATGAATGTATGTCAGAAGGTTTTCACTGTTTATTCTTATATATATATATATGTTTGTATGACTTTTATATTAATTAATTTTCATCGATTACATCATCATAATCATCATCATCATCATATGATATTATGTACTTATCAAAATTTATATTCATTTGTATTATAATCACCAACACAGTTGCAGCTGTCGTGTAGAACTGAAAAGTATGTTCTTCTTTAACATAATAGAAGCGAATTTTGCCCTAATCGCATAAATTGAAAATAAGATCTAAAATATGCATTGTAAAGATGAAAAATATATATATATTGCCTTTTTTGAAACATATAAAATTAAAAATATATTTTTAAAATATATTTTACTTACATATTTTTATTATCTAAAATATATACACGCAGTTTTGTTTTTATTAAACTTTGTCGTGTATGAATTTTTATTTTTATAAATATTAAGACATACCTTACGTATGAGATCGTAACCGAAATAGAAAAGTCCCATACCATAAAATTTTATTTCTCTTCGTTTTATTTGTAGTATAAATTGTAGAATCTGAATTTTTAGATAAATATAATTCGATATATTACATGAAATTTAAATATTACATGCATACTAGATGCTATATGATATTATGCGATAATAATTTACCTGCTCCCGAAAATCTTTATCCGAATGATCGTTGGACAGTTTATAAAGAATTGCCACTGTCTCGTTCGCCTGAAATTATACGCACACAAAATTGTAGCTTATAAACTGAAAATTAAAAAAAGTAAGAAAAATAATTTTATGAAAATTGCTAATGTCAATGAGAAATGTTATTAGCTAATAATATTTATTAATATCAACTTTTTATATTTATTATTGTTATTGCTAATTAAATTTTAATGATTAATTACATTAGTCTGTTATACCTTATCGCAAATAATTTGACAGACATGATTTAATGCAAGAAGTTTTACAGTACATACAATGACCCAGACATAAATATCCATGTCTAAAAGTTGTTCCAATGTATCTTCATCATTGTATGGATTCTCTAGATATATCCCGTAAATTTTGCAACACAATTCAATAAAAAACGTGAAATAAGATGCCATTTCCAATGTCATTTGTATACTGAATACTTCATTTATCTCGCGTGATATAAAGCATAATTCTAGGTGAATGTGCCTGCAATCAAATCATAATTGTCATAATTAAATTAAACTGCAGAATGTCTTTAAATTTGGTTTCAAGTATTTTCAATATAAAAACATAATTGATTGTTTAATTATAATATATCAAATTTTAATTAAAATGTTTAATTAAAATATAAAGTTATAATGTATACTTTGCAAATACATTGCAATTACATTATAATCCACATGTATTGTCTACATTTTATTGGTTCTTCTGTACTTCGCGGAATACATAAAATTAATTTATTTCGTCTTCTAGTACACATTGCGTTATCTTTAAATAGATCTCGAATGTGCTCGTTGATTTGATGAAATCTGGTGCTTATATACCTGAATTTAATGAAAAATTAAAGATAAAGGATTCGTTACTTACATTTTTTTACTAACATTGCTAAACATATATATTATATATGTACAGGGTTTTTCCGATACATACACATCATAATGTCGGGTTGCTTATCTGCTTACCGACAGGGGCATGCTTTATGAGAAAAAGAAATCGACTTTATTACTTTGTATATACAGTGAACACTTGTGAAATGGGACTATATAGATAAAATATATATTTAATAATATAGATAAAATAACATATAAGTAAAATTTAATAATACATTTGTATTAAATTTTACTAAAAATATTTTTTTGATTTATTTTTAATATAATTTTTATCTATAAATATAATAAGTCATATAATAAATTTATAGTAAATATAAAAGTTATTTAATAAATTTTTAGTAAATATAATAAGTCATGTAATAAATTTATTATATGACTTATTATATTCAGAGATTAAATTTATTATATGACTTATATTTATTAAAAATTAATTATATGACTTATGAATATTATATTATATTGATAGATAAAAATTATATTACAGATGAATTAAAAAATATTTTATAGTAAAATTTTAGTAAAATTTGATTATTAAATTTTACTTATGTTATTTTATTTATATTAATAAATATATATTTTATTCATATTATCCAATTTCACAAGTGTTCACTATGTATATAGAGTGATAAAGTCGATTTTTTTTTCTCATAAAACATGTCACTGGTGTAGCAGATAGGCAACCCGACATAATGATGTGTATGGATTGAAAACACCCTGTAAATGTATATCTTATTTCAGATTATATAACAGAAAAATATTAAAGTATTAAAATATAGCTACAAGATATGAGAAGATTGAATCGATTTAGACTTTCAAAAATTTTTTAAATATTTTTGTTATACATATATACATTATTTATAAATAAACTTTACAAAGTTATATATACCGACCTCAGAATAGCTGCCCAAATTAAACCATTGAGAGAATTTACGTGGAGCATATGGTTTGGTATAAATGAGAAATAAATATCACTGATGTTAAATTCCTGATAGTCCCATAAAATACCATACCAATTTATAAAAAGACATAATAAAATCCATCCTATTGTCATTCTAATTGTCCATTTATACAGTAGTCGGTATTCTTTTAATGTTCCAAGCATTTCCAATGTATCATCCACGACAGAAAGTTTATATAAACACGATTTTAATTTCTTAAAGAATAATCATAATTTGATCAAATTACAGTTAAAAATCAATATTCAAACAATATATAATTTCTTTCTAAATATTTTGTCAAAATTAAAACTGATCGATTAAAAACAAACATAAAGTCGATATTTGTTTTTTTGTTTAAAGATTAAAATTAGTATTCTCAATACAAAGTATTCTCATGTGATAAAATTTAAGCGTAATTATTTGAACAATAATATAATTCATAATTTTTACCTTATAACGACACAAGTTGATGAACATTGACACAATCTCACAAAATATTATTACTATATCAGTCCAGGCCAGATCTTGTTCACCAGTGTAGACTAAATAATAAAAGAGGTACACGTAGAGGCTCCATGTGATTAAAAAATACAGACTAGTGAGGTACGGCCTGGGTCGTCCAAGAGGATATTCGAAAAAGCTCAAGCTACAGAATGATCCAACGATCAATAATGGGGACAGTGCTGCCTGAATCGTCTCCGTCATGATTTTCGAAAATCATAAATTTAAATTACGTTTTATTATGTGAGATACTTTGTGTTGATGTCATCGAAAATTAAAGAAATATATTCATTTTCTTTTCGCACATCCTGCAGGAAACTTTACAAGAATTATACTGCAAATTAATGTTGAAATTTTTATTCGACCGATGAATATCGACCGGTAAAATAAAAAGGTGAATAATCTAATAAGAGAGACCCTTTTTTACGCAAAATTATTATCTGCATACCGTATATATAATTTATAAAACATGTACGGTCATGAATATCAAATTCTTGTAATATTGTGTCATTTGAAAATTGAGAGATTCTGCATTACTTATACAAAAAATAACCTTCAGATAAAATGATTTAAATTGTGGCGATTGACAATTTCTATAACTAAAATTTTATTATTAGTACGTTTATTATCATGATGAAAGGAAACTGTTAGTTATATTAAAACATAGATATGTTTTCATTTTTTTACAAATTTATCTGTTAAAATTCGAGCAGACTTTATTTGTTTTATGGATTATAAAATGAAAAATTAATTTTAGATAATCATTGCTGTTACATATGTATATGACGCTAATATTTAACGTATTAAATATAAATATTAAATGTATGTATATATAATCTCATTTTTAATACTCAGTAATATAGATGTATCTTTTTAATAAAACTTTAAGTCCACGTTACAAACAAAAAATTTTGAACATAATACTTTCATTTTTTTTAAACACTAATCAGAAATCTTTAAGTGTATTATATTGCAGGAAGCGTTGAAATATCTATTGGAGGAGCCAATATGGAACAACAGTAGAAACAGATAATTAAGTTTAGATCACTTTTTCCTTCCGGACTTGTTATTTGTACATATATAATTTTTGAGTATAGCAAAAATGACCAAGAAAATATTCTCGTGACATATTTTAATAATGTACATAAATTCAATATCTCAAATGAGGTATAAATTAATGAGGTATAAATTAATCTTTTAAATTGAATAAATGAAAAGTGAAGATGTATATCAAAGCAATTTAATTTGTTTTACAATATTTGAGAGAATAAATAAGTAAAATATATGTATTATGATATATATTCAATAAGACATAATTACATTACTGTGTTATATTTATTTTTTGCAAAATATATTATCATACCAAATAAAAAGGTTATCTATATACAAAAAATCTTTATATATTATACAAAGATAAATTGAAATAAAAAAAATTATAATACTTTTGTAATTGTGTAAAAGAAAATTTCGTTCTATGTAATTTATTTGTTATAAAATTACTGTATATGTATATATTTTTCTTTTTATAACTTGAGAAAAATGCTTTCTAAGAAATAGAAAGTAAATTTATTTTCAAAAAATAATACACAAATTATTTTTTTCTTATATATAAAATTTATATTTAAAAAAAAAGTGGGCATACGGACACAATGAATGTATGTCAGAAGGTTTTACTGTTTATTCTTATATATAAGTTTATGCATGACTTTTATATTAATTAATTTTTATTGATTACATATATCATATCAATAATCAGAAGTTATATTCATTTGTATTATAATCACCAATACGGCTGCAACTGCTGTGTAGAACTGAAAAGTATGTTCTTCTTTTACATGACAGAAATGAGTTTTTTTTACCAATCGATAGATACACAAAATTCTTTTATTAAACTTTGTCGTAATAATTTTTATTTTCATAAATATTAAGACATACCTTACGTATGAAATCGTAACCGAAATAGAAAAGTCCCATACCATAAAATTTTACTTCTTTTTGTTTTATTTGTAATATAAATTGTAGAATCTGAATTTTTAGATAAATATATAATTCGATATATTATAAGATATAAACATTATATGTATACTAGATGCTATATGATATTATGGGCGGCCATAATTTACCTGTTCCCGAAAGTCTTTATCCGAATTATCATTGGACAAGTTATAAAGAATCGCTACTGTCTCGTTTGCCTGAAATTATATGCATACAAAATTATAGTTTATAAACTGAAAATTAAAATATGTAAAATAAAATAATTTTATGGAAATTGCTGATGTCAATGTCAATGTTATTAGCTAATGATTTTTATTATTGTATTTTTTAAATATATTATTGTTATTTCTAATTAAATTTTAATGATTAATAATTACTTTACTCTGTTATACCTTATCGTAAATAATTTGACAGATATGATTCAATGCAAAAAGTTTTGCAGTATATACAACGGCCCAGATATAAATAATTATTTTAGAGAAAACATTTTCGAATGTATCCTTATTATTGTCTATATATGTCGCATAAATTCCGCAACACAATTCAACAAAAAGCATAAAATAAGATGTCATTTGCAATGTCATTTGTATACTGAATACTTTGTTTAGCTCGCGTGATATAAAGCATAATTCCAGGTGAATGTGCCTGCAATCAAATAATAATTGTCACAATTAAATTACACTACAGTATGTGTTTAAACTTGGATAAAGATATTTTCAATATAAAAACAATTGATTTTTTAATTACAAGATATCAAATTATAATTAAAATGTTTAATTAAAATATAAAATTATAATGTGTACTTTGCAATTTTTACATTCTTATTACATTATAATCCACATGTATTGTCTACATTTTTTTGGATCTTCTGTATTTTGCGGAATACCTAAAATTAATTTATTTTTCCTTCTAGTACACATTGCATTATCTCTAAACAGATCATGAATGTGTTCGTTGATTTGATGATATCTGGTGCTTATATACCTGAATTTAATGAAAAATTAAAATTAAAGGATTCGTTATCTACAATTTTTTACCAACATCGCTAATCATATACATATATGTATATACATATATCTTATTTTATATTATGTAAAAGAGAAATCTTAAAGAGTATTAAAATAATGCTAAATGAAATGAGAAGATTGAATAGATTTAAGCTTTCAAAAAATTTTTTAAAATATTTTTGTTATATACACATTATTTATAAAAAAACTTCACAAAGCTGTATATGGTATACCGACCTCAGAATAGCTGCCCAAATTAAACCATTGAGAGTATTTACGTGGAACATATGATTTGCTATAAATGGTATCCAAATATTACTGATGTTAAAATCCTGATAGTTCCATAAAATATCGCACAAATTCATAAAAAGAGTTATCAAAATCCATCCTATTGTCATTTTGATTGTCCATTTATACAGTAGTCTGTATTCCTTTGACGTTCCAAACATTTCCAATGTATCATCCACGACAGAAAGTTTATATAAACACGTTTTTAATTTCTTAAAATATAATTATAATTTAATCACTTTAAAGCGTAAAAATCAATATAAATGCAAAAAATATATAATTATTTTTTCTGAATGTTTTGTCCGTGATGATAATACAATTATTAAAGCGGATCTTCTAAAAACATTATTTAAACATAAACTCGATATTTGTTCTTTTGTTGAAAGATTGAAATTAATATTCTCAATACCAAGTACTCTAATATGATAAGATTTAAGCGTAATAATTTGGACAATAATTTTTACCTTATAACGAAACAGGCTGATGAACATTGACACAGTCGCACAAAAGATTATTATTATATTACTCCAGGACTTGTATAGGTTATTATTGTAGAGTAAATAATAATAGAGGCACACGTAGAGGCTCCATGAGATTAAAAAATACAGACTAGTGAGGTATAACCTGGGTCGTCCAAGAGGATATTCGAAGAAGCTCAAGCCGCAGAATGATCCAACGATTAGTAATGGGGACAACGCTGCCTGAATCGTCTCCGTCATGATTTTCGAAAATCATAAATTTAAATTACATTCTATTATGTGAGGTACTTTGTGTTGATGTCAGCGAAAATTAAAAATGTGTTTTTACTTTTCTTCCGCACATCCTACAAGAAACTTTACAAGAATTATACTGCAAAATATGTTGAAATTTTTATTCGACCGCTAAATATCGACCGGTAAAATAGACAGATACACAATCTAATAATATGGAAGACTTTTTTCGCGCAAAATTATTATCTACGTAGCGTATATAATTTATAAAACGTTATTGGTTATGAATAACAAATTCTTGTAATATTGTGTTACATGAAAATTGTAGGATTCTGTATAACTTATACAAAAAATAATCTTTAAATAAAATGATTTAAATTGTGGGGATTAACAATATATATAATTAAAATTTTATTATTAATACGTTCGTTATTATTAAAGGAAACTGTCAATTATATTTAAAAAATATGAGTTATTTATTCATTTCTTTGCAAACTTATTTGTTAAGATTATAGCAGATTTTATTTATTTGATTATTAAATGAAAAATTAATTTTAGATAATTATTACATATGTATATGTCGCTAATATCGAACATGTTAATATAAATATTAAACATATGTATGTATATAATTTAATTTTAATGCTCAAATATGTTTCTTTTAAAAAAATTGATACATAATCGTGTATAAAAATATTTACATGATTAATTTTTCAAGAAAATAAAATGTTTCCATGATAAAATTGTAATCTTACATTACTACGTAATCAATATTTTACAAGCTTTTTTGAGCGACATTTAATTGAAATAATTAAATAAACATTAGATGCATCTTGATTGTTGCATTATTTTATAGTAATTAATGTCAATTTTTGTATATGTTGACATTTTTTCTCGGTATTCATATCTTGCGTTAGCATCACAATAATACATAATTAATATACTCGTACCATATATACCAATAATACAGGAGAAATTATCGAGAAGTTTACTTATTCAAAAGTTTTTTAAGAATAATAAAAATGTATAATCATAAAAATTTTATATATTATATAAAGATAAATTCCAATAAAACAATAATAATATATTTGTTCATTGTAATAGTGTAATAGAAAATTTAATCCTATATAAATTCTGTGTCATATATAAAGTTATTATATATTTATATCTTCTTTTATAATTTGAGAAAAGTATTTCTCAAGAAATAAAAAGTAAACTTATTTTTAAAAAATAAATAAATTTTTATTTTTTATATATAAAACGTATATTTTCTAAAAAAAAGTGGGCATACGGACACAATGAATGTATGTCAGAAGGTTTTCACTGTTTATTCTTATATATATATATATATATATATGTTTGTATGACTTTTATATTAATTAATTTTCATTGATTACATCATCATCATCATCATCAAATGATATTATGAACTTATCAAAATCTATATTCATTTGTATTATAATCACCAACACAGTTGCAGCTGTCGTGTAGAACTGAAAAGTATGTTCTTCTTTAACATAATAAAAGCGAATTTTGCCCTAATCGCATAAATTGAAAATAAGATCTAAAATATGCATTGTAATGATGAAAATATATATTGCTTTTTTGAAACATAAAATTAAAAATATATTTTACTTAATATTTTTATTATCTAAGATATATACACACAGTTTTGTTTTTTATTAAACTTTGTCGTGTATTAATTTTTTTTTTATAAATATTAAGACATACCTTACGTATAAGATCGTAACCGAAATAGAAAAGTCCCATACCATAAAATTTTATTTCTCTTCGTTTTATTTGTAGTATAAATTGTAGAATCTGAATTTTTAGATAAATATAATTCGATATATTACATGAAATTTAAACATTACATGCATACTAGATGCTATATGATATTATGCGATAATAATTCACCTGCTCCCGAAAATCTTTATCCGAATGATCGTTGGACAGTTTATAAAGAATTGCCACTGTCTCGTTCGCCTGAAATTATACGCACACAAAATTGTAGTTTATAAACTAAAAATTAAAAAAAATAAGAAATATAATTTTATGAAAATTGCTAATGTCAATGAGAAATGTTATTAGCTAATGATTTATTAATATTAACTTTTTTATATTTATTATTGTTATTGCTAATTAAATTATAATGATTAATTACATTAGTCTGTTATACCTTATCGCAAATAATTTGACAGACATGATTCAATGCAAGAAGTTTTACAGTACATACAATGACCCAGACATAAATATCCATGTCTAAATGTTGTTCCAATGTATCTTCATCATTGTATGGATTCTCTAGATATATCCCGTAAATTTTGCAACACAATTCAATAAAAAACGTGAAATAAGATGCCATTTCCAATGTCATTTGTATACTGAATACTTCATTTATCTCGCGTGATATAAAGCATAATTCTAGGTGAATGTGCCTGCAATCAAATCATAATTGTCATAATTAAATTAAACTGCAGAATGTCTTTAAATTTGGTTTCAAGTATTTTCAATATAAAAACATAATTGATTCTTTAATTATAATATATCAAATTTTAATTAAAATGTTTAATTAAAATATAAAGTTATAATGTATACTTTGCAAATACATTGCAATTACATTATAATCCACATGTATTGTCTACATTTTATTGGTTCTTCTGTACTTCGCGGAATACATAAAATTAATTTATTTCGTCTTCTAGTACACATTGCGTTATCTTTAAATAGATCTCGAATGTGCTCGTTGATTTGATGAAATCTGGTGCTTATATACCTGAATTTAATGAAAAATTAAAATTAAAGGATTCGTTACTTACATTTTTTTACTAACATTGCTAAACATATATATTATATATGTACAGGGTGTTTCCGATACATACACATCATAATGTCGGGTTGCTTATCTGCTTACCGACAGGGGCATGCTTTATGAGAAAAAGAAATCGACTTTATTACTTTGTATATACAGTGAACACTTGTGAAATTTGACTATATAAATAAAATATATATTTAATAATATAGATAAAATAACATATAAGTATAATTTAATAATACATTGTATTAAATTTTACTAAAATATTTTTTTGATTTATTTTTAATATAATTTTTATCTATAAATATAATAAGTCATATAATAAATTTATAGTAAATATAAAAGTTATATAATAAATTTTTAGTAAATATAATAAGTCATATAATAAATTTATTATATGACTTATTATATTCAGAGATTAAATTTATTATATGACTTATATTTATTAAAAATTATTATATGACTTATGAATATTATATTATATTGATAGATAAAAATTATATTACAGATGAATTAAAAATATTTTATAGTAAAATTTTAGTAAAATTTGATTATTAAATTTTACTTATGTTATTTTATTTATATTAATAAATATATATTTTATTCATATTATCCAATTTCACAAGTGTTCACTATGTATATAGAGTGATAAAGTCGATTTTTTTTCTCATAAAGCATGTCACTGTTGTAGCAGATAGGCAACCCGACATAATGATGTGTATGGATTGAAAACACCCTGTAAATGTATATCTTATTTCAGATTATATAACAGAAAAATATTAAAGTATTAAAATATAGCTACAAGATATGAGAAGATTGAATCGATTTAGACTTTCAAAAATTTTTAAATATTTTTGTTATACATATATACATTATTTATAAATAAACTTTACAAAGTTATATATACCGACCTCAGAATAGCTGCCCAAATTAAACCATTGAGAGAATTTACGTGGAGCATATGGTTTGGTATAAATGAGAAATAAATATCACTGATGTTAAATTCCTGATAGTCCCATAAAATACCATACCAATTTATAAAAAGACATAATAAAATCCATCCTATTGTCATTCTAATTGTCCATTTATACAGTAGTCGGTATTCTTTTAATGTTCCAAGCATTTCCAATGTATCATCCACGACAGAAAGTTTATATAAACACGATTTTAATTTCTTAAAGAATAATCATAATTTGATCAAATTACAGTTAAAAATCAATATTCAAACAATATATAATTTCTTTTCTAAATATTTTATCAAAATTGAAACTGATCGATTAAAAACAAACATAAAGTCGATATTTGTTTTTTTGTTTAAAGATTAAAATTAGTATTCTCAATACAAAGTATTCTCATGTGATAAAATTTAAGCGTAATTATTTGAACAATAATATAATTCATAATTTTTACCTTATAACGACACAAGCTGATGAACATTGACACAATCTCACAAAATATTATTACTATATCAATCCAGGTCAGAGCTTGTTCATTAGTGTAGACTAAATAATAATAGATGTACACGTAGAGGCTCCATGTGATTAAAAAATACAGACTAGTGAGGTACGGCCTGGGTCGTCCAAGAGGATATTCGAAAAAGCTCAAGCTACAGAATGATCCAACGATCAATAATGGGGACAGTGCTGCCTGAATCGTCTCCGTCATGATTTTCGAAAATCATAAATTTAAATTACGTTTTATTATGTGAGATACTTTGTGTTGATGTCATCGAAAATTAAAGAAATATATTCATTTTCTTTTCGCACATCCTGCAGGAAACTTTACAAGAATTATACTGCAAATTAATGTTGAAATTTTTATTCGACCGATGAATATCGACCGGTAAAATAAAAAGGTGAATAATCTAATAAGAGAGACCCTTTTTTGCGCAAAATTATTATCTGCATACCGTATATAATTTATAAAACATGTACGGTCATGAATAACAAATTTTTATAATATTGTGTCATTTGAAAATTGAGAGTTTCTGCATTACTTATACAAAAAATAACCTTGAGATAAAATGGATTAAATTGTGGCGATTGACAATTTCTATAACTAAAATTTTATTATTAGTACGTTTATTATTATGATGAAAGGAAACTGTTAGTTATATTAAAACATAGTTATGTTTTCATTTTTTTACAAATTTATCTGTTAAATTTCGAGCAGACTTTATTTGTTTTATGGATTATAAAATGAAAAATTAATTTTAGATAATCATTGCTGTTACATATGTATATGACGCTAATATTTAACGTATTAAATATAAATATTAAATGTATGTATATATAATCTTATTTTTAAAGCTCAGTAATATGGATGTATCTTTTTAATAAAACTTTAAGTCCACGTTACAGACAAAAAATTTTGAACATAATACTTTCATTTTTTTCAAACACTTATCAGGAATCTTTAAGTGTATTATATTGCAGGAAGCGTTGAAATATCTATTGGAGGAGCCAATATCGAACAACAGAAAAAACAGATAATTAAGTTTAGATCACTTTTTCTTCCGGACTTGTTATTTGTCCATATATAATTTTTGAGTATAGCAGAAATGACCAAGCAATTATTCTCATGACATTTTTATAATGTACATAAATTCAATATCTCAAATGAGGTATAAATTAATGAGGTATAAATTAATCTTTTAAATTGAATAAATGAAAGGTGAAGATGTATATCAAAGCAATTTAATTTGTTTTACAATATTTGAGAGAATAAATAAGTAAAATATATGTATTATGATATATATTCAATAAGACATAATTACATTACTGTGTTATATTTATTTTTTGCAAAATATATTATCATACCAAATAAAAAGGTTATCTATATATAAAAAATCTTCATATATTATACAAAGATAAATTGAAATAAAAAAAATTATAATACTTTTGTAATTGTGTAAAAGAAAATTTCGTTTTATGTAATTTATTTGTTATAAAATTACTGTATATGTATATATTTTTTTTTTATAACTTGAGAAAAATGCTTTCTAAGAAATTGAAAGCAAAAATAATACATTATTTTTTTCTTATATACGGACACAATCAGAAGATTTTACTGTTTATTCTTATATATAAGTTTATGCATGACTTTTATATTAATTAATTTTTATCGATTACATAATATCATTATATCAATAATCGAAAGTTATATTCATTTGTATTATAATTACCAATACGGCTGCAACTGCTGCGTAGAACTGAAAAGTATGTTCTTCTTTTACATGACAGAAATGAGTTTTTTTTACCAATCGATAAATACACAAAATTTTTTTATTAAACTTTGTCGTAATAATTTTTATTTTCATAAATATTAAGACATACCTTACGTATGAAATCGTAACCGAAATAGAAAAGTCCCATACCATAAAATTTTACTTCCTTTTGTTTTATTTGTAATATAAATTGTAGAATCTGAATTTTTAGATAAATATATAATTCGATATATTATAAGATATAAACATTATATGTATACTAGATGCTATATGATATTATGGGCGGCCATAATTTACCTGTTCCCGAAAGTCTTTATCCGAATTATCATTGGACAAGTTATAAAGAATCGCTACTGTCTCGTTTGCCTGAAATTATATGCATACAAAATTATAGTTTATAAACTGAAAATTAAAATATGTAAAATAAAATAATTTTATGGAAATTGCTGATGTCAATGTCAATGTTATTAGCTAATGATTTTTATTATTGTATTTTTTAAATATATTATTGTTATTTCTAATTAAATTTTAATGATTCATAATTACTTTACTCTGTTATACCTTATCGTAAATAATTTGACAGATATGATTCAATGCAAAAAGTTTTGCAGTATATACAACGGCCCAGATATAAATAATTATTTTAGAGAAAACATTTTCGAATGTATCCTTATTATTGTCTATATATGTCGTATAAATTCCGCAACACAATTCAACAAAAGCATAAAATAAGATGTCATTTGCAATGTCATTTGTATTGAATACTTTGTTTAGCTCGCGTGATATAAAGCATAATTCCAGGTGAATGTGCCTGCAATCAAATAATAATTGTCACAATTAAATTACACTACAGTATGTGTTTAAACTTGGATAAAGATATTTTCAATATAAAAACAATTGATTTTTTAATTACAAGATATCAAATGTTTAATTAAAATATAAAATTATAATGTGTACTTTGCTGTATTGATTTTTTTGGATCTTCTGTATTTTGGCATGCATTCGTTGATTTGATGATATCTGGTGCTTATATACCTGAATTTAATGAAAAATTAAAATTAAAGGATTCGTTATCTACAATTTTTTACCAACATCGCTAATCATATACATATATGTATATACATATATCTTATTTTATATTATGTAAAAGAGAAATCTTAAAGAGTATTAAAATAATGCTAAATGAAATGAGAAGATTGAATAGATTTAAGCTTTTAAAAAATTTTTAAAATATTTTTGTTATATACACATTATTTATAAAAAAACTTCACAAAGCTGCATATGGTATACCGACCTCAGAATAGCTGCCCAAATTAAACCATTGAGAGTATTTACGTGGAACATATGATTTGCTATAAATGGTATCCAAATATTACTGATGTTAAAATCCTGATAGTCCCATAAAATATCGCACAAATTCATAAAAAGAGTTATCAAAATCCATCCTATTGTCATTTTGATTGTCCATTTATACAGTAGTCTGTATTCCTTTGACGTTCCAAACATTTCCAATGTATCATCCACGACAGAAAGTTTATATAAACACGTTTTTAATTTCTTAAAATATAATTATAATTTAATCACTTTAAAGCGTAAAAATCAATATAAATGCAAGAAATATATAATTATTTTTTCTGAATGTTTTGTCCGTGATGATAATACAATTATTAAAACGGATCTTCTAAAAACATTATTTAAACATAAACTCGATATTTGTTCTTTTGTTGAAAGATTGAAATTAATATTCTCAATACCAAGTACTCTAATATGATAAGATTTAAGCGTAATAATTTGGACAATAATTTTACCTTATAACGAAACAGGCTGATGAACATTGACACAATCGCACAAATAATTACTATTAGATTTGTCCAGACCAGATATATTTTAGTAATGTAGACTAGAGAATAAAAGAGGTACACGTAGAGGCTCCATGTGATTAAAAAATACAGACTACTGAGGTATAACCTGGGTCGTCCAAGAGGATATTCGAAGAAGCTCAAGCCGCAGAATGATCCAACGATTAGTAATGGGGACAACGCTGCCTGAATCGTCTCCGTCATGATTTTCGAAAATCATAAATTTAAATTACATTCTATTATGTGAGGTACTTTGTGTTGATGTCAGCGAAAATTTAAAATGTGTTTTTACTTTTCTTCCGCACATCCTACAAGAAACTTTACAAGAATTATACTGCAAAAATGTTGAAATTTTTATTCGACCGCTGAATATCGATCGGTAAAATAAACAGATAAACAATCTAATAATATGGAAGACCTTTTCCGCGCAAAATTATTATCTACATACCGTATATAATTTATAAAACGTAAACGGTTATGAATAACAAATTTTTGTAATATTGTGTTACATGAAAATTGTAGGATTCTGTATAACTTATACAAAAATAATTTTAAAATAAAATGGTTTAAATTGTGGGAATTGACAATTTATATAATTAAAATTTTATTTATAATACGTTCGTTATCATCAATTCGTTATTATTAAAGAAACTGTCAGTTATATTTAAAAATATGAGTTATTTATTCATTTCTTTGCAAACTTATTTGTTAAGATTATAGCAGACTTTATTTGTTTATTTGATTATTAAATGAAAAATTAATTTTAGATAATTATTACACATGTATATGTCGCTAATATCGAACATGTTAATATAAATATTAAACATATGTATGTATATAAAAATTTAATGTTTAATGCTCAAATATGTTTCTTTTAAAAAAAATTGATACATAATCGTGTATAAAAATATTTACATGATTAATTTTTCGAGAAAATAAAATGTTTACATGATAAAATTGTAATTCTACATTACTACTTAATCAATATTTTACAAGCTTTTTTGAGCGACATTTAATTGAAATAATTAAATAAACATTAGATGCATCTTGATTGTTGCATTATTTTATAGTAGTTAATGTCAATTTTTGTATATGTTGACATTTTTTCTCGGTATTCATATCTTGCGTTAGCATCACAATAATACATAATTAATATACTTGTACTATATATACCAATAATACAGGAGAGATTATCGAGAAGTTTACTTATTCAAAAGTTTTTAAGAGAATAATAAAAATGTATAATCATAAAAATTTTATATATTATATAAGGATAAATTCCAATAAAACAATAATAATGTATTTGTTCATTGTAATAGTGTAAAAGAAAATTTAATCTCTCATATAAATTCTTTGTCATATATAAAGTTATTATATATTTATATCTCCTTTTATAATTTGAGAAAAGTATTTCTTAAGAAATAAGAAGTAAACTTATTTTTAAAAATAATAAATAAATTTTTATTTTTATATACAAAACGTATATTTTCTAAAAAAAAGTGGGCATACGGACACAATCAATGTATGTCAGAAGGTTTTCACTATTTATTTATATATATATATATATATATATATATGTTTGTATGACTTTTATATTAATTAATTTTCATCGATTACATCATCAAATGATATTATGTACTTATTAAAATCTATATTCATTTGTATTATAATCACCAACACGGTTGCAGCTGTCGTGTAGAACTGAAAAGTATGTTCTTCTTTAACACAATAGAAGCGAATTTTGCCCTAATCGCATAAATTGAAAATAAGATCTAAGATATGCATTGTAATGATGAAAAATATATATTGTTTTTTATGAAACATATAAAATTAAAAATATATTTTTAAAATATATTTTATTTAAATATTTTTATTATTTAAAATATATACACGCAGTTTTGTTTTTTATTAAACTTTGTTGTATATTAATTTTTATTTTGATAATTATTAAGACATACCTTACGTATGAGATCGTAACCGAAATAGAAAAGTCCCATACCATAAAATTTTATTTCTCTTCGTTTTATTTGTAGTATAAATTGTAGAATCTGAATTTTTAGATAAATATAATTCGATATATTACATGAAATTTAAATATTACATGCATACTAGATGCTATATGATATTATGCGATAATAATTTACCTGCTCCCGAAAATCTTTATCCGAATGATCGTTGGACAGTTTATAAAGAATTGCCACTGTCTCGTTCGCCTGAAATTATACGCACACAAAATTGTAGTTTATAAACTGAAAATTAAAAAAATAAGAAAAATAATTTTATGAAAATTGCTAATGTCAATGAGAAATGTTATTAGCTAATAATATTTATTAATATCAACTTTTTTATATTTATTATTGTTATTGCTAATTAAATTTTAATGATTAATTACATTAGTCTGTTATACCTTATCGCAAATAATTTGACAGACATGATTTAATGCAAGAAGTTTTACAGTACATACAATGACCCAGACATAAGTATCCATGTTTAAAACTTGTTGAAATGTATTCTCATCATTGTCTGGATTCTCTAGATATATCCCGTAAATTTTGCAACACAATTCAATAAAAAACGTGAAATAAGATGCCATTTCCAATGTCATTTGTATACTGAATACTTTATTTATCTCGCGTGATATAAAACATAATTCTAGGTGAATGTGCCTGCAATCAAATCATAATTGTCATAATTAAATTAAACTGCAGAATGTCTTTAAATTTGGTTTTAAATATTTTCAATATAAAAACATAATTGATTTTTTAATTATAATATATCAAATTTTAATTAAATCATTTAATTAAAATATAAAGTTATAATGTATACTTTGCAAATACATTGCAATTACATTATAATCCACATGTATTGTCTACATTTTATTGGTTCTTTTGTACTTCGCGGAATACATAAAATTAATTTATTTCGTCTTCTAGTACACATTGCGTTATCTTTAAATAGATCACGAATGTGCTTGTTGATTTGATGAAATCTGGTGCTTATATACCTGAATTTAATAAAAAATTAAAGATAAAGGATTCGTTCCCTACATTTTTTTACTAACATTGCTAAACATATATATTATATGTACAGAGTGTTTCCGATACATACAAATCATATTGTCGGGTTGCCTATCTGCTTACCGACAGGGGCATGCTTTATGAGAAAAAGAAATCGACTTTATTACTTTGTATATACAGTGAACACTTGTGAAATTGGACCATATAGATAAAATATATATTTAATAATATAGATAAAATAGCATATAAGTAAAATTTAATAATCCAATTGTATTAAATTTTACTAAAATATTTTTCTAATTTATCTTTAATATAATTTTTATCTATAAATATAATAAGTCATATAATAAATTTATAAAAATATAAAAGTTATATAATAAATTTTAGTTAATATAATAAGTCTTATAATAAATTTATTATATGATTTATTATATTCAGAGATAAAATCTATTATATGACTTATATTTACTAAAAATTTATTATATGACTTATGAATATTATATTTTATTGATAGATAAAAATTATATTACAGATAAATTAAAAAATTTTATAGTAAAATTTTAGTAAAATTTAATTATTAAATTTTATTTATGTTATTTTATTTATATTAACAAATATATATTTTATTCATATTATCCAATTTCACAAGTGTTCACTGTATATATAGAATGATAAAGTCGATTTTTTTTCTCATAAAGCATGCCACTGTTGTAGCAGATAGGCAACCCGACACAAAGAAGTGTATGGATTGAAAACACTCTGTAAATGTATATCTTATTTCAGATTATATAACAGAAAAATAGTAAAGTATTAAAATAAAGCTACAAGATATGAGAAGATTCAATTGATTAAGACTTTCAAAAATTTTTTAAATATTTTTGTTATACATATATACATTATTTATAAATAATTATTACAAAGCTATATATACCAACCTCAGAATAGCTGCCCAAATTAAACCATTGAGAGAATTTACATGGAGCATATGGTTTGGTATAAATGATAAATAAATATCACTGATGCTAAATTTCTGATAGTTCCATAAAATATCGCACGAATTTATAAAAAGAGTTATCAAAATCCATCCTATTGTCATTCTAATTGTCCATTTATACAGTAGTCGGTATTCTTTTAATGTTCCAAGCATTTCCAATGTATCATCCACGACAGAAAGTTTATATAAACACGATTTTAATTTCTTAAAGAATAATCATAATTTGATCAAATTACAGTTAAAAATTAATATTTAAACAATATATAATTTCTTTTCTAAATATTTTATCAAAATTGAAACTGATCGATTAAAAACAAACATAAAGTCGATATTTGTTTTTTTGTTTAAAGATTAAAATTAGTATTCTCAATACAAAGTATTCTCATGTGATAAAATTTAAGCGTAATAATTTGAACAATAATATAATTCATAATTTTTACCTTATAACGACACAAGCTGATGAACATTGACACAATCTCACAAAATATTATTACTATATCAGTCCAGGCCACCACTAGTTCATTAGTGTAGACTAAATAATAGAAGATGTACACGTAGAAGCTCCATGTGATTAAAAAATACAGACTAGTGAGGTACGGCCTGGGTCGTCCAAGAGGATATTCGAAAAAGCTCAAGCTACAGAATGATCCAACGATCAATAATGGGGACAGTGCTGCCTGAATCGTCTCCGTCATGATTTTCAAAAATCATAAATTTAAATTACATTTTATTATGCGAGATACTTTTTGTTGATTTCATCGAAAATTAAAGAAATATATTCATTTTCTTTTCATACATCCTGCAGGAAACTTTACAAGAATTATACTGCAAATTAATGTTGAAATTTTTATTCGACCGATGAATATCGACCGGTAAAATAAAAAGGTGAATAATGTAATAAGAGAGACTTTTTTTGCGCAGAATTATTATCTGCATATCGTATATAATTTATAAAGCATGTACGGTCATGAATAACAAATTCTTGTAATATTGTGTCACTTGAAAATTGAGTGATTATGCATTACTTATACAAAAAATAACCTTGAGATAAAATGATTAAAATTCTGGCGATTGACAATTTCTATAACTAAAATTTTATTATTAGTACGTTTATTATTATGATGAAAGGAAACTGTTAGTTATATTAAAACATAGTTATTTTTTCATTTTTTTACAAATTTATCTGTTAAATTTTGAGCAGATTTTATTTGTTTTATGAATTATAAAATAAAAAATTAATTTTAGATAATTATTGCTGTTACATATGTATATGACGCTAATATTTAACGTATTAAATATAAATATAAAATGTATGTATATATAATTTCATGTTAATGCTCAGAAATATGGATGTATCTTTTTAATAAAATTTTAAGTCCACGTTACAAACATAAAAATTTCGAACATAATATTTTCACTTTTTTTAAACACTTATCAGGAATCCTTAAGTGTATTATATTGCAGGAAACATTGAAATATCTATTGGAGGAGCCAATAACAAACAACAGAAGAAACAGATAATTTAGTTTAGATCACTTTTTCCTTCCGGACTTGTTATTTGTACATATATAATTTTTGAGTATAGCAGAAATGATCAAGCAATTATTTTTGTGACATATTTTTATAATGTACATAAATTCAATATCTCAAATGAGGTATAAATTAGTTTTTTAAATTGAATAAATGAAAAGTGAAGATGTATATTAAAGCAATTTAATTTGTTTTGCAATATTTGAGAAAATAAGTATGTAATATATATGTATTATGTTACATGACATATTTCATATTATAATTACATGTTCTGTATTATATTTATATTTTGCAAAATATATTATTATACCAAGTAAAAAGTTATCTATATATGATAAAATTTTTATATATTATATAAAGATAAATTAGAATAAAAAATAATAATGCTTTTGTTCATTGCAATTTTGTAACAGAAAATTTCGTTCTATATAATTTCTTTGTTATAAAGTGTTACAATATATGTATTGTATTTCTTTTATTATAATTTGAGAAAAATGCTTCTCAAGAAATAAAAAGTAAAATTATTTTCAAAAAATAATAAATACTTCTTTATTTTATTTCTTATATATAAAATTTTTATTTTCTTGAAAAAGTGCATATATTGTACATAGATACAATAAATACATGTCAGAAAGCTTTTACCGCGTTTATTTTTATATATATGTTTGCACGAGTTTTATATTAATTAATTTTTATCGACATAATCATCATATTAATATGTAACCAGAAGTTATATGCATTTGTATTATAATCACCAATACGGCTGCGGCTGTCGTGTAAAACTGAAAAATATGTTTTTTACATAAAAGAAATGAGTTTTTTTTCCTATAATCGCATAAAATGGAAAGAAAATTTACGATTATAAAGAGTATATAATGTGTTTTTATGAAACCTAAAGATTAAAATATATTTTTTAACTTTTTAAAATATATTTTTTATTTAAATATTTTTGCCATGTAAGAAGGTAAAAACACAAAATTTTGTTTTTTATTAAACTGTCGTGTATCATTTTTATAAGTATTAAGACGTACCTTACGTACGAAATCGTAACCGAAATAGAAAAGTCCCATACCATAAAATTTTACTTCCCTCCGTTTTATTTGTAATATAAATTGTAGAATCTGAATTTTTGGATAAATAATTCGGTATATTATATGACATATATAAACATTATGCATACTAGATTCTATATTATATTATGCGGCAATAATTTACCTGCTCCCGAAAGTCTTTATCCGAATTGTCGTTGGACAATTTATAAAGAATCGCTACTGTCTCGTTTGCCTGAAATAATAATATGCATATAAAATTATAGCTCATAAACTTAAAATTAAAAAGAAATAAGATAAATTAATTTTATGAAAATTATTAATGTCAATGTCATTATGTTATTAATTAATGATTCATTACTGTCAAATTTTTTAAATCTATTATTTTTGCTATTTAAATTTTAATAGTTAACAATTACTTTATTCTGTTATACCTTATCGCAAATAATTTGACAGATATGGTTTAATACAAGAAGTTTCGCACTATATACAATGATCCAGATATAAGTTAATATTGTATAAAAAAAATTTTGAATTGTATTTTCATTATTGATTATACACAATGTGTAAATCTCGCAACACAATTCAACGAAAGTCATAAAATAAGATGCCATTTGCAATGTCATTTGTATGCTGAATACTTTGTTTAGTTCGCGTGATATAAAGCATAATTCCAGGTGAATGTGCCTGCAACCAAATCATATTTCAATATAAAAATATTTTCAGTATATAAACATAATTGATTCTTCAATTATAATATATCAAATTTTAATTAAAATGTTGAATTAACATATAAAGTTATAATGTGTACTTTGCAAATACATTGCAATTACATTATAATCCACATTTGTTGTCTCCATTTTTTTGGTTCTTCTGTATTTTGCGGAATACATAAAATTAATGTATTTTGTCTTCTTGTACACATTGCGTTATCTATAAATAGCTCATTAATGTGCTCGTTGATTTGGTGAAATCTGGTGCTTATATACCTGAATTTAATGAAAAATTAAAATTAATAGATTCGTTATCCACAATTTTCTATTATATGTGTATACACACATATATTTTATTTCCGATTATATAAAAGAGAAATCTTGAAATATTAAAATAAAGATATGAAAAGATTGAGTAGATGTAGGCTTCCAAAAATTTTTTATTATTTTTGTTATATACACATAATTTTAAGCAAAACTTTACAAATCTGTATATACCAACCTTAGAATAGCTGTCCAAATTAAACTATTGAGAGCATTTACGTGGATCATATGATTTGCTATAAATGGTTTCCAAATATGACTGATGTTAAAATCCGGATAATTCCATAAAATATCGCTCGAATTCAAAAAAAGGAATAATAAAAACCATCCTATTATTATTTTAAGTGTCCATTTATACAGTTGTTGGTATTCCTTTAATATTCCAAGCGTTTCCAATGTATCATCCACGACAGAAAGTTTACATAAACACGTTTTTAATTTCTTAAAAAATAATTATAATTTGATCATAGTAGAGCGTAAAAGTCCGTATAAATGCAAACAATATATAATTTATTTTTTAAATATTTTATCAACTATTGTAAAACTGACCTATTAAAAACTTGATTTAAACTCGATATTTATTTTTCATTTAAAGATCGAAATATTTGTTTAAAGATTGAAGTATTCTTAATATATTGTATTTTAATGTCATAAGATTTATGCGTAATAATTTGAACAATATTATCATTCAGTATTTTTACCTTATAATGAAACAAGTTGATGAACATTGACACAGTCGCACAAAAGATTATTACTATATTACTCCAGGCCGCGTATTGGTTATTATTGTAGATTAAATAATGATAGAGGCACACGTAGAAGCTCCATGTGATTAAAAAATACGAACAAGTGAGGTACGGCCTGTGTCGTCCAAGAGGATATTCGAAAAAGCTCAAGCTGCAGAATGATCCAATGATCAATAATGGGGACATCGCTGCCTGAATCGTCTTCGTCATGATTTTCGAAAATCCTGAATTTTAATTACATTTTATTATGTGAGGTGCTTTCTGTTGATGTCAGCGAAAATTTAGAAAATGTTCTTACTTCTTTTCCGCACATCCTTCAGGAAACTTTACAAGAATTCTACTGCATAAAAGTGTTGATATTATTATTCGTTGAATATCGATCGATAAAATAAATAGACGAATAATCTAATAAGAGTGGCCTTTTCCTTGCAAAATTATTCTACATGCAGTACATAATATATAAGACGTGAACGATCAGGAATACATTCTTGTAATATTGTGCCATATGAAAATGAAATTCAAGCGAGCATTGCGATATAATTCTAAAGGAAGATTTATCTATTATCCATTTTAGAAGAAATTAGCATAAAGAAATAAATTAGACTATTAATGAATAATAAAATACTTTATAATTTTTGAATTTGATGGTTTTATAGGATAGACGTCTAAATTCATAATAAAGCACATAACGAACGAAAGGATCTGTTGAATAATCGTCACGGTTATCTGCTGCATGATTAATACTGATGTAACACTGCCTGTATGTTCAAGTTCATTTATTGGATATATCGCAGTTTGCAACGTGATAATAGATTTTTGCGATATACACACACACATACATATTTTTTATAGCACTTACTTATATTAAAATGATCGATTCATTTTGAATGATGGAAATTATATTTTTTTAAGTCATTTTGAGAAATAGAACAAGGCGTATCAAAATAGATATTTATTTTTAGAACTAATGGGACGGGATGAATATTTGTCAAATATTATTGTAAAATTAATGTAGAATATAAAATAATTGTAATATAAATTATTAATACAATTTTTAAATTTATTTATCACAAAATATTAATAATCCATAGCACATAAAACTTTCGCTTATTGTCATTTTAAGATATAAAAAGTATTTTATTAATGTAATTATATTTTACAATTGTTTCAAATCATATTTAATTTTTCCAAATCATATTTACTTTTATTATTTTCAAATAGTTTATTAAATAGTATAAATAAATATTATTTCAATATTATTGTACACGATGTTTGTGTTTAATAAAAGGTATAATAAAAGTACATCGGTTGTAGAGAAAACAAAATATGCTAAAAGAATTATAATATTTCATCTGTATATACTTTATAAAATTGAATGAGTCTTGATATAATTACATGAAAAATAATCTTAATATGCGAAAACAATCTGACAATAACCTTAATTTGTTGCGAAAACAAACTAAACTGAATAAGCTAATTTTATGGTGTTCTTAAGAGCACAGTTTTACATAATTAAGCAAGAGATATTTTCATTTGCATCATAATAATCACATACATGAAAACTGTTGTACAAAGCTGAAAAAACGTATTTTAATTAAGTTCTGCTGCAGTAAAAATAACAATTTATTAAAATGAATAATACATAAATTAGAATTTAAAGAAAACAAAAAAAAACTTGTGATAAAAAGATATTAATAGAAGAATATGGATAAAAACAACATGAGATTAGTTTTCAAAATTATAATGTATGTTTTAATAATATGTTTTAATACATAGTATAAAAATTAATTAGTGGAAGAAAATCTGTATAAAGGTAAACCTTTCGAAAGAAGTCATTGCCAAAGTAGAAGAGACCCATTCCAGTAAATTTTAACGGATGTTGTTTCGTTTGTAATATGAACTCATGTATCTGCAGATAAATAACTGTCTAGTTTTATGAACTTTTATTTTATTTATCTAATTAATAAAATAAATTTTGTATGCTGTTAAAACATTGCTTACCTCCTCATAAACGTCAGCATATTGAATAATATTTGTCAGTTGATGAAATAATTTATCAATATCTTTAGCCTAAAATTTCGGATTTATTATTGGAACATTTACATCTGATTATTAATTTAATATCTATTTTATCGAAATTTGCGTAGTTTTACCTTAACCCTGACACATTCGCAAATATAATTTATTATCCAAATCTTTATTATATATGACAACGTCCAGCAGCCTATACCAAACCAGTTATAAAATGGAAATTCGTATCCAAAGTGCATTATTAATAAATTTACACCATAACACATGATTGTTATGCTTGTAATATCAGTCGTCATTTCAAAAGTCATTTGCGTTCCGAATATTAAGTTCAACTCGCGAGCAATGCGACATATTTCTAAATGAAGATGCCTGCCAAAAAACTTTATTATATAAAACTTAAATCATAAAATTTTTGTTTATTATAAAAACTTATAAATGTTAATTTTTCGTATGTATTACTATTATTTTTATTTTATTTAGAATTTATATTTTATTATAAACTTAACACACTAAATCGATAATTGTATATGAAAATATAGCGTTTGTTCCGATTTACATTAAGATCCACAGTATATGCTTGTAATCATTAGCGTAGATGACATATCGTTGAAGGGCGACCACAGACTTTCTTCGTGTACATTTCGGCACATGCTTTACCAATAGACAACGCATATGCTCGTTTACTTTGTCAAATCTAGTACCAATATACCTATAAAATATAATGTTTCATTAATCTGAAATTATATGACAGAATTTTCGATATACATATTTACATGAAAAATCTCTTAATAATCATAATCTAATTTCATAAGTTTTCTAAAAAGATTATGTATATTATCTAAATTTTTATGTTAAAAATGCTGGAGAAATATCATTTTTAATGATAAATATATTTCATATATTTGAAAGAAACTTTTTAACATGAGGAAAAGGAAACAATTTATGTAGATCATTAATAATAAGTATCAATAATAATAATATACATGCATTAGCTTATACACGCATGATTAGATATGTAGATTGCACATAAATACATATAAATACTAACCATAAGAAAAAGGTAAATAATAAGATCTCCATAATATTAATATGAAAACAATGATTTGATATATAAGGTAGAATAAATGCCCACACAATTTGTTTTTTTTCGAACAGACCTAGCGTTTGGTAAAAATTTAAAAGAATATTGTTCACAATGCATCCAATTAGTATTCGTTTCAAATATATGTGCATCTTTTGATATTCTTTTGGAGTACCTAACCATTCTAAAGTATCATCTACAGCAGCAAGCCTTTTCACGCATATTCTAAGTTTCTAAAACAATTTGAACTATTTAAGCGATATTTCAAAATGTATCCATAGATATATATGTATATCATGTTTTTATCATGCAAAACTTAATTATATACAAATTTTTAAATCATTATATACGAATATTTAAAAAAAAATATAGCTTTGGAAGAAGTTTTCAATGAATTACTCTAGCAAAGATTTGAAAACCATCCAGTATAATTAATATTGATATAAATTAATATATGTGTAATTTAATAAATTTTACGTAATAAATATGTATATTAATATTGTGTTTCTGTACCTCTTGATAATAAAAATTCATAATTGCGGATAGAATTGTAGTACATGTATTAGGTAAGAAATAGACCAATTCAACCTTGCCTGGATGTAATTCCTTCCATGTAAAAACAGTCACTGTGTAATAATTGAGAGAAGCATAGGATATCCAAATAATCAGAGAATATAAGATACTTAAGCATGTAATCCATGAAATCTTTGATGTTGGTTCTATCACTGGACAGAAATTCAATCCCAAAATAAAGCAGGT